CTGAAATTTTAAGAGCTAAAAATCATTTAATTAGCTACACAAAGCAGATAAAATCCAGACAAAGTACTGCAGGTTTACTACTAATGAAAATTGTGACCTGATGTTACTAATCAGATATTAATTTTACTTGCTAAACTTCAGGTTATTTACCCTCTTGGTTTTTAGGAATATAACAGCTCAGGATTACATGTATGTGGCATATTCAAGAATCTACAGTGTACCAAGTGGTTATGATGATAAACTGCTTTGCCACAGGATAGAGCAAGAATACAGGGCTGGACCTTTGGAACTAAATCGTGAGGCGATCCTCCGAACAAGCACAAATTTAAACACTAATCAAACACTTCATACTGACAACAATGGCTACCAGATGCAGAAGAGACCATACAAAGCGTATGTGAATAATGCAGTGGCTCGGGTAGGCATAAAGATATAATCCAAAACCAAGTATGTTTCCTGTTCATGCTCTATTATATTGACCAAAGTTAATGATTTTTGTTGTTTGATTTATTGTGTGTCTTCAGAACTATTATCCTGTGGTCCAGACTGCCTACATTGAGGATGACAGCATGAGGATGATGCTGCTTGCAGAAAGATCTCATGGTGTCTCAAGTCAAGGAAATGGGCAAGTGGAGGTAATGAATGAAAATGTTTTTATAGTAAAACAGTAATTTCCTGGCTTCTGACGATGTGAATAAAACATGATGGCTGCTCTGGTTTTTATCTTCATTATGCAGGTGATGCTACATCGGAGACTATGGAATAACCTTGAGTGGGACCTGAATTACAATCTCACTTTGAATGACACCTCAGTGGTTCGGCCAGTGTTCTGGCTCATCTTAGCAACCAAGCCTGCAACTAATGGTCTGTATCAGACAAGTGCGCTGGCGTTAGAACACAGACCAGTTGTTATGTATGGAGAACTCGCAGGTAACTGTTCTTAGTTTAAAAAAAAAAAAAACTAAGAATTATTCTGCCTAGCCTCTTGGCTTCTAAGCCTACATTTAGGCTAGACCCAAACAATTGGACGGGCTTTTCCAAGATGAGCCTTCACGATTTCTCATTGTCCTTTAAGAATAGGTGTTGAATGCTCAGTGCCTTTGAAAATGGGTTTATTTATTCTGGTGCCTCTCTCCACAGATTTAGGAGTCAAACTGTAGGCACCCACTGGCTGAAAATCTTTGCCACAGTAGTTAACTGAGAGAACTTTTGACTCCCAGTTTAAAATGTCTTTCAAATAACAAAGACATACCAATGAATAGTAGCAGCAAGACTAGATGAAGCATGCTTTACTGGGGTACTAATAAAAGTCATGCTTCTTTCAGTGCAGTACCTCAAAACATCTGAAGAGAGAGTGCCTCATCCACTCCTGGTCTAGTTCAGACAGGAAGAGAGCACGGTCTTCTCTTCCAAAAGCAGTACAGGTCGGCCCTCCCTGGTCCGGCAACCTCGGGACCTGACTGGTCCCAAACGAGGGGATTTGCCAAACCAGGGGAGGTCCCTCCCCTCATGGCCCATACTGTCCCCTGGTTTGGGCTCCAGCCTGACCCCACTGCTGTTCCAGCTCCCCCAGGACACTCTAGTTGTCACTGGCTTCGCTGCTAGCAGGGCCGGAGTGCCACAGCAGGAGCTCTGCAGTTACCTGGCTCCGTGGCCAGAGCTGGATCTCCTCAGTCAGTGCTGGGGCCGGAGTTGCAGGGCTGCATCTCCACGGCTGGAGCTGGGGCCAGAGCTCCCTGGCTGCCACTGGGGTCGGAGCTTCCCGGCCGCTGAGACCAGAACTCCCCACTGTGCTGCTCTCCCCCCAGTCTGGGGCTCCTGGCTGAGTCACTGTTCCTCCCCATCATGCTCCTGCCCTTGGGCCAGATCATCTGTTCCTGGGCTCTGTGGTCTGCAAACATCCGTGGTCCGTGCTTGACCATGGATGTTGCCGGACCAGAGAGTCCCAGTTCAGGGAGGTACAACCTGTACAGTGCCACTGGAGAGGGTCCTCTCTTAGTATAACCATGTTTTACATGGTAGCTCTTTTTTGATTTCACATTCAGCTGAGAAACCAAAGCTGCAAGGACAGCATCATTCTGTTCAGAGGGATCCTGTAACCCTGCCAGCTAATCTTCATCTCCAGACCCTAAGCATTCCTGGGTGGACATACAGCTCCAACCACACTGAGCAGCTACAGAATATTCACAAAGGTAGGTTCTCTTTCAGCAATAAGTCAGTTAGAGATGGAGATTACTCAGCATATGACACTTATAAGGACTGATTTTCTTTTCTGCCTTTGTTTTGTGACTGTTATTAATTATCTTTATTATGGTAGCACTTAAACCTTAGACCTCTGTGCTGCGAAGACATATAGTAAAAGACACACTTTGCCTCAAAGAGTATAAAGTCATTTAAGCACCGATCTCCCTTTGAAAATGTTCCCAAAGAGGCCTTTGAGATAGTTTTACTAGATGACTGTGCAGCACATGCACAATGGGGCTTGGGCTAGTATCATAGAATCCTAGGGCTGGAAGAGACCTCAGGAGGACATCGAGTCCAGCCCCCCACCCAAAGCAAGACCAATCCTAACTATCTCACCCCACCCAGGGTTTTGTTGAGCTGGGACTTAAAAACCTCTAGGGATGGAGATTCCATCACCTCTCTAGGTAACCCATTCCAGTACTTCACCATCCTCCTTGTAAAATCGTTTTTCCTAATATCCAACCTAGACCTCCCCCACCTGTAATTTGTAACCATTGCTCCTCCTTCTGTCATCTTTCATTACTGAAAACAGCCTCTCTCCATCCTCTTTGGAACCTCCACCCCTTACAAATCACCTTCAGGTAGTTCAAGGCTGCTATCAAATACCCACTCACTCTTCTCTTCTGTAGACTAATTAAGCCCAAATCCCTCAGCTTCTCCTTGTAAGACATGTGCTCCAGCCTCCTAATCATCCTTATTGTCCTCCACTGGACTTTATCCAATGCGTCCACATCCTTTCTGTAATGATGGACCCCGAATTGGACTAGGTTAAGGCCTTCAGATTTTACTAATATAAATATGCCAATAGTTATTGGATGTTTCCCTGTATTTTGTGCTTTTGAAAATCTCTTCCTGAAATCTTCAGGGAAGGGATAGCTCAGTGGTTTGAACATTGGCCTGCTAAACCCAGGGGTGTGAGTTCAATCCTTGAGGGGGCCATTTAGGGATCTGGGGTAAGTCTGTCAGGGATGGTACTTAGTCCTGCCATGGGGACAGGACTTGATGACCTCTCAAGGTCCCTTCCAGTTCTATGAGATAGATATATGAGGTGAGTAACTTCCAACAGAAGTCTTAAGTTTTCAGTATTAAATAATAAAACCTGTTTTGTTTTGGGGTTTTAGGAATAGGAAAGCAAGAGGATGCAGACTTCAGACGTATACTTCTAAGAATCAGGCATTTGTATGAAGTGGGAGAGGATCCTGTACTGTCTCAGCCTGCAACAGTGAATCTGAAAGTAAAATGAATCACTCCTCCTAAAGCACCACTTAGGGAAGGGTGGGGAACCTTTCTTGGGCCGGGAGCCCTGGCCCAGGGAAATATCAGTCGGGGGCTGCACACTAGTGAGAAGCCGGAAAAAAAAACCTCCAAGCCCCCACTAACATGGCCCGTGACTGAGAACAACAAAGACGCTCCCCACATTCCCCTCGCGCACCTGAGCCTATTGGGACCCAGGCTAGTAGATTTTGTGTGCTCCAGTCCCTCAATAGGCGCAGGCTCCCAAATGGTAGGAGGGGAGCCCTAAGCCTTGGGGGGCCGGATCCAGGCAAGCTGGGGGTCACATCCAGCCCCCAGTCCCGAGGTCCCAGGCCTGAAGTTCCGCACCCATGACTTGGGGATTATGTGCCTGGTGGGGTAATATAATCTACAGGAGTATGGTTTCTAAATGCAGTAATGTGTTGTGTATTAGTTAGCCCATGTTGATCTTCCTGGGGTGGACTACGGTTTCCTTATGTGTTTTAATGTGGAACTTTTGCAAACCACAGTATGTTAAAGTGCAATTGGGAACTTTAGTGTGTGTGTCACATAAGATATTGATAAGGGATTAGTGATAACCTTTAAGATAGTGTGTGACACATAAGCATGCCTTACAAATCACCTTCTATAGAACACATTACACCACCGTCTAATTAAGTCCTCAGCTCATCTTTGACTGTGGAAGAAGAATCTTTTTACAAAAACGTAACCTCCCTCTTCTTTTAATTAGAAAGTATTCAAAAAAATGGAGCCAGAAATGCTGCTACTGACATTACTGGCAAAATTCTGCCTCCTGCTAAGGTCATAGTTCATTTTTCCAACTACCCTTCCTCACAATATCCATGACCCTAGCTGACAGACATCACGTTAATAGTGAAAAAATGCACAAGCATCGGTATGATTGAGTTTGTGTAGATATCAATGTAATATTTGTATGATAACTTAAATAGTATAGAGCTCTTTCAGTTCTGTCTGTAATGTCTTTGTATCTAATGTTGCAAGTGACACCTGAGATTACTGAAATGTGAAAGGTGTTTGACAGCTCTTTGCGTCTGGTCATGTGACTGTCTCTCTTGCAAAGACCATTTCCCCTCTTGATTGTTTGGCTTTTTTACACAATAATAGGGGAGAGAACAGTATATTTTATAAAAATATAAAGGACACAAGGGCAGGTATCACATATGACATGGGAGTTCTGCTTCACTGGAGTAGACCCCAAAGAAGATCCAGCCTTCTTCAGTGTCAAGAATGCAGTATCTACTAAGTGCTTTGGTAACTTTTAAAGGGGGATCCATTTGTGCTGAATCATCTCTGGTGGTTTTCAAGTGTACACGGCTCAGTAATTGCTGAGAGTATGAAATCTTTTGAGATTACAGATCAAAATTCTGCCCTTGCTCAGCTGCTTCACTGAGCTGCACTAGGCATTCCCTCAAGTAACATTAATTGGATATTTTGGGATTGCTTTTCATGTAGTCTCTGCTGAAATGGGAGGGAGCAGTGGTGGAACCTGGGATATAAAGACTTTGGAGAGATGGAAATGGAAATCAGCACAACACCTAAGCAGAGGTACGTGGGAAATGAGATGTTTGTGGGGTGGTTGTTTTTTTTCAAGTCCCAGGCTGTTGACATATGTTGATGGTATTTTCATTGGATGTTGCAATTCAGGATTTTGAGTCTAACCATTTCTCTGATGTCAGCAGATACCTGAGAGAGTCACTGGCAAAGACTATGTCTAGACTACATCCCTCTTTCGAGGAGTACCGGTAGTTCGGAATAGGAAGCCTAATCCGAACTACCTAGTTCGTGCCCACGGCTACAAGCGGCACGGAGTCCGAACTAGCGGACATTTAAAAATGGCGGCGCCCGGAAATATGCAAATGGAGCCCGGGAAATTCAAATCCCAGGCTTCATTTGCAACTCCGCTTGCCTACATTAACCACCCTAGTTCGAACTAGGGTGGTAGTGTAGACATACCCTTAGATACTATAGTGATACACACCATAGTCAAGCCCATGAGGGAATTAATAATTCTGTCTTCAGGGTAAAGTTCCATAGTGCAGTATATAAGGCCTGGAGCCACATGTTGAACAATGAGAATAAAACAAAAAATTGAAGGAGTCGTTAATTAAGTGAGCACTGTTCATTCCGTGCACAGACTCTCAGTGGGTGCAATCTTGAACAGAGGATTGGATTGTCAGCATTCTGCACTCAACGTGCTTGACTCTGTAATTCATATAAGAGGTGTTTAAAACCATAGATCAAAAAACCCACAAACTTTGGGGGATTTGTGTTCCATATCCAAACTGTGTGGGATGGATTAATTTCAAGTTCTTTTCTGGTTGTGTGTGTGTGTGTGTGTGTGTTGTATTGCACAGATGCTAGGGTGGTTGTATTTTGCCTTGTTTCTGACCACCATTGTCGGGGGGGAGGGTTGGTTTGTATTTAGGTGGTGTGGTGTGTTTTTTGTTGTTTTTTGTAAGCATCATCCTCTTTTTGTGGTTCTGGGTTTTGAGTTATGTTTTAAGATATGAAGAAGTTGCAGTTGTTAAGATTGAATGTTAATATAAAAAAAGTTTATTGAATTATAATCCTGGCCAAGCCACTGACTATATGATCTTGAGAAATGTAGGTAAATTATAGAGAAGATATAAAGGGCTTATCTACACTTAAAATGCTACAACATCACAGCTGCACCTCAATAGCATTTCAGTCTGGATTCTTCTTACAGTGACAGGAAAGATTCTCCCATGGAAAAGTTAATCCATCTCCCTAAGAGATGGTAGGTAGGTCAACAGAAGATTCCTTCCATCAGTCTAGTGCTGTCTATACTGGGGATTTGGCTGGTTTAACTATGCCACTCAGAGATGTGGATTTTTCACACACCTGAGTACATAATGAAGCGGACTTAATTTTGTAGTGTAAACCACTTATTATGTTTGCAGATGATACAAAACTGGGAGGGGTTGCAACTGGGAGGATAGGGTCATAATTCAAAGTGATCTGGACAAACTGGAGAAATGGTCTGAGGTAAATAGGATGAAGTTTAATAAGGACAAAGGCAAAGTACTCCTCTTAGAAAGGAACAATTCAAACATACTGAATGGGAAACGACTGTTTAGGAAGGAGTACTGCAGAAAGGGATTTAAGTGTCGTAGAGGGACCACAAGCTAAATATGAGTCAACAGTGTGATGCTGTTGCAAAAAAAGCAAACGTGATTCTGGGATGCATTAATAGGTGTGTGGTGATCAAGACACGAGATGTCATTCTTCCGCTCTACTCTGTGCTGATTAGGCCTCAGTTGGAGTATTGTGTCCAGTACTGGGCACCACATTTCAAGAAAGATGTAGAGAAATTGCACAAAGTCTAGAGAAGAGCAACAAGAATGATTAAAGGTCTAGCGAACATGAGCTATGAAGGAAGACTGAAAGAATTGGGCTTGTTTAGTTTGGAAAGGAGAAGACTGAGAGGGGACATGATAGCAGTTTTCAGGTATCTAAAAGGGTGTCATAGAGGAGGGAGAATAATTATTCTCCTTAGCCTCTGAGGCTAGGACAAGAAGCAATAGGATAAAACTGCAGCAAGGGAGGTTTAGGTTGAACATTAGGAAAAACTTCCTAACTGTCAGGGTGGTTAAACACTGGAATAAGCTGCCTAGGGAGGTTGTAGAATCTCCATCTGTGGAGATATTTAAGAGCAGGTTAGATAGACATCTATCAGGGATGGTCTAGATGGTACTGGGTCCTGCCATTAGGGCAGGGAACTGGATTTGATGACCTCTCGAGTTCCCTTCCATTTCTAGTATTCTGTGACCTGGCTTAAATGAACCGTGAACTGTAGAGCCACCTCAGTAAAGCAGCAGTTTGGGAATATGAACTGTTGGATTTTTCTCTCAGCAAGAATTCTCTGGAAATGTGAACCTTTTACCGAGTGTATCTTTAGCAAGAGATTAGTATCAGTAGCATGAGGTAGATGGTTTACAATATATTTTAAAATTATGAATATGTTTTCCTTAGAGTTATAGGTGCAGCTGTTAAAATCAGAAAATCTATTCAAACCTAGGTTCAAAAATGTTAGGACAGCATTTGATTTGGCATAAAGTTTTTCAGAAACATAAACATCATATACATCTGTATTTTTACATTTTATAGGGTTCTCCGGTAATGCAAAGAAGACCACAGAAAACTCTACTGTAACTATTCATCCAAAGGAAATTAGAACATTTTTTGTATACTTTCAAGATCAGTGAAAGTCTGCAAATTATTCCTGAGCCATCATTGAACAACTTGCTTCGTTTCTTTTTTAAAAAATCACAAGTTTTGAGAACATTTTTCCTAGTATTGTAAATGGAATCAATAATTATTATATAATAAACTGTGAAATTTAATTAAATCATCAAAATTACGGGGTTTGGTTTTGTTTGTTAAGGAGATGACCAAATACGTGCTTAGGTCAAATATTTAAAACATGTTTTTTTTCTTGAAATGAAAAATGTTTATCTTAAAAATAGGGGCTGGGGGAAATATTGGACTGGCTATGATCCTATCTATCTCGCAATACAAATGTATCAGCACATGATACTGGGAGTCTGTGACTGCATTTCTTTGCATTGTTAAATCCATTTCAGATCTATTTTTAAAATGGTGGGGTTTGTGTCTACAGATTAGAGTACTAAGAGCCTGGATTATTCAGTCTCTTGTTCTCTTAAAGAATGTAAAATAACAGTCACCTGTCAAGTTCAGACAACATGTATACTGATTGTGAGAAATGTTCATTAGCAACCATATTGGGAAGGACTACATTTAGGGCTATATACGTGTTAGTTGCAAATAATAAGTACTGTATTATTGAAGGTAACCTTATTTTTAAAAATGAACATGTAATGATGTGCATCATTATAAAGAATTGGATTTTTTTTAAACAAAATGTTCCCTTGTTTTCTGCTATGATTCCTAATTGTGCTGTCATAGGGCACATCTACAGAGCAGGGCTAAAGCCGAAATAAACTACTCAACTTCAGCTACATCAATTGCATAGCTTAAGTCAAACTAGCTTATTTTGGCTTTTGGCGCTATGTACACAGCAGGACGTTCAAGAGAGAGCACTCTCCCTTTGAACATAAGTCCTTCTATTACTAATACATATAAACTAAATTCATTATGTGACTCTGGAATTAGGATATCAGTTTGCATGGTTATTCACTGGCATTGGTAAATTGGCTACAATGTAAAATATAGTTAAATGGAAAAAATAAATCAGTTAGTCATGCAATTAGAAAAATACTCAAACAAATTTTCTTCACCTGTAATGTCAGCTCTGTAATCTTTATTCAATATCTTCTCTGAGACATTTTTAAAGGTTGAGTTCAGTGTACAGTTCTAAGTTTTTCACACTTTTCTCTTTACTAACTTGTTTGCAAAATTGATTCTATTTTTTGCTGATATGACAGGTTTGACCATATTCAGGACATTGTCTAGGCTGGTGACTCCTTTCACATCTAGAACATTTTTTCATATGCTCTTTTTTTTTTAAACACTTTCACACTGTTCGCTTCAAAGACTTTTTTACTTAAGTTTATATTCACATTTATGTGTCGTTTTTTCTAAAATGTGCAATGATTGTTAAGTTCTGCAGGTTGGTAAATTTTCACTGCTTACCCAAGATTAAGATCTGGCTCTGGTAACTGGTTTTTTTTTTTTCCTCTACATTCATATCTTTTGTACCCATCACAGTTTGATCTCTTATCAGTGACTCAGAGTCTGGAAATTGCGTGTCTGGACTTCTTGTCTTTAGATCAGTGAAAAATGATTCAAAGGTCTTTTCCACCATTTGATTTCTTAAGTGAAACTGAAGTCAGACAGATGTTTGTGCCTTGTTGTTAAAAACCTCCATTGGTGGAGATTCCATAATCTTCCTAGGTAATGATATTGTGCTTAACTATCCTTCCAATTAGGGAGTTTTTCTTGATACCAACCTGAAACTCCCTTGCTGCACATTAAACCCACTACTACTTGTCCTGTCTTCAGTGGCTATGCAGAACATTTATCACCCTGATCTTTAACAATTTTTTATGTACTTGAAGACTCATTTCTTCCCTTGTAGGTCTTCTAGTCTCAGAGTAAATGAGACTAGATTTTTTTCAATCGTTCCTTATAGGTCATATTTGCTAGACCATTAATCATTTTTGTTGCTCTTCTCTGAATGTTCTCCAATTTGCCCATATCTTTCCTGAAATGTGCTGCCCAGAACTGGACAGAATATTCCAGCTAAAGTCTTAGGTGGTGTAGAGTGAAAAAATTACAACTTCTGGGAGTAGTGTCCCTATTAAAACTAACAGAATTTCTAAATTGCCTGACACCGCACTATCTAAACACGCTTCCTCTGATGCTACATAGAGTACATAAAGGAGATACATTCCTTTTGTTTGTTTCCAGAATAGAACAGAAAAGGCCACAGTTAGATGTATATGGAATTTCATGAGATGAAGCCACACACTGGCTCGTGGGTCTCAACAACATGTGGAGAGCCTAACTGATCATCATATTTGACAACTGGGAAGAAATTCCCCCCCACGTCAGCTTGGCAGAGATGCTGGATGTGGGGGAGGGAGGGCAGAGTTTCACCTGCCCCTACAGCATGGTGATCAGGTCGTTTGCTGCTTTAAAATAAAGGAAATGGTGGATTCTCTGTAACTTGTCGTCTTTAATTCGTGATTTGAGGAACTCAGCCAGAGGTTAGTGTTCAATTATAGGAGAGATGGGTGAAGTTATTTGGCATGAAATGTGTATCAGACTAGAGGATCATGATAGTCCCTTCTGGTCTTAAAGTCCATTATTTCCATAGCAGATAAACACAGCAGCTCACACTCCTCTTCCTTGTTTTCAGAGCTTAATCCTCCTTTAATATCTTTGACCTCACTTCCTAATGTACCAATGATGTCAGATGTTAGGCACCCCCTTATTTCCTGTCCCATTGTACTCTCACACCTTTATCCATGCTGTGTCACTTGTGAGGCAATTAAAAACAACAAAACAATACTAATTTAAGGGAGCACTCAAGGTGTGTCTGTAGGTTACTGAATAACCGAAGGCCAAATGCAGAACCCCTTGAAGTCAGTGATAGTCTTTCCAACTCCCTTGGTGAGCTTATCAATATAACCTTTGCTTTTCTCTCCCTTCTCCCATATTTTATGACTAAGGCCTTGTCTACCTCAGGGGGTTTTGTACCCATATAGTCACACTGATGTGGTGCAAACCCCTAATAGAAAGATACTTCTCCAGTGCAAAGAGTGCCTTTTCAGTTCATAGAAAGCTCTTTGCTTATGCTGTGACAATTCAGTCTTCCCCTCTCTGCCCCAGAGATGAGACTCACCTAGCTGGACTGCTTCTATTTATTCTGTAGCATCTCATAAAGGGTGCCAATGATATGTATAAACGGGATTCGGCCCACTAATTTTTTTTACACTAAATGCATTGTATTAAAAAAAAAAACACCTTTTAGGTTGGTGTGGACCCTTGTGGCATGCAAAGGAGAATGTTATTCCTGTTGTGACTCTTTCTGCTGTCAACTTCCTCAGGAAACCTCAGCTCTCACAGTATGAGATTTTCAGTGAGACTGTTAGCTTGCTACACAGTCTTCTGTTGATTGCAGAGATTGCTACACAGTCTTCTGTTGATTGGGAAGAGAATTTTAAAATACCTTTAAGAACATTTGCCTGCTCTTTGCAAAACCAAACTGGTAGAGGTTCACTAAACAAAGGTTTAGTTTGGAGTCTGAAGTTCATTTTACAAACAGTCACCGCCCTACTGGGCTGCCTGAATGAAATGCACAAAAACAAATAACAGGATAAATTCAAAGCTGACAGGAATGGGTCCAACTCTCACGGAAGTCAATTTAGTACCACTCGTAGTCCAGCCAACTGTGTTTGTAACTACTCCCAGAGTCCTACTGAATAACTCTGCTCCAATTCAAATGCAAGGACACAACTATTGCCCACAAAGTCCTTTGGCTCGTGAAGTCAGAATATAGTGACCATAGCCCCGTAACTGGTGTTTGGTTTCTTAAGTTTTTAACACTGATTTACTTGTGTATATATTTCTTATCCTGCTCAATGGGGACGTTCAGCACCTATTGGTGAAGCAAAATAGATTTGAAGTGCTTTGCAGTTCACTTTCCACTGGTGATTGCTACAACACTTGATGAATTTCTTAAATTATTTATAACTGCCACCCCCATTATCAGCCAAGGGCATAGAAGGGTACAAGAGTCATAGCTGCTTTTTCATTGTACTGTACTCATTGATGCTTTCCCTGCCCACTTAAAGGATGATGTGGCCTCACAAAGTAGTTGGAATCTGATTTTCAAGTGGTTATGGTATGGGAAATCATTCATGGGTGTAAAATCCCACTTCCCCCTTGCAGAGAGCAGCAAGAGGTTAGAGAATTTAACAGCCTCTCTAGTTCAGTGAAACAAACAGACCATGTAGTCATAATTTTGATGTTTTTCCATTTCTTTCCTCCGAGTACGTTGAAAATCACAGGTTTAGATTTAGAAGAGGGGTATAAGAATTCTTCACTTTCAAATTCCATTTGGCTCAAGCAAATTGTTGATTCTGGGCTACTGCATTGATTTAACTTTCATTTTTATTAAATTTTATTGTTTTATTTTTATTGTTATTGCTGGGAGCAAGGCAAGAATTATTACCCTCTCTTGTTTGCATTAAACAGACTTTGTATTTGGGTCTGGCCCACACCCAATGTTGCACCTGTTTAACTAATCGTGTATTTTTAAGCTGCTATAGTATTAACTCAATCATTGTGGACACTACTAAATTGATTTGAAACCTGACATAGGCGTTTAGCATACTCTGGTAAATGTACAGGCCCAAGTTGGACAGATAAAAGCAGTTAATTGTGTCCAACAGAGGTTTCCACCGATTTAAATAAAATCAGTTTTTAAATCAATTTTAGTTAAACCAATTCAACTTGTGTGCAAACCAGGCCTTTGTCTTCATCACTGGTACTGACACAGCCCCTTCTAGTACAGATCATCTGTGTCAATGCCCCCACAAAGCACAGAAGGAGGAACATCTGCTTCATACCTTCCTGCCACAAGTACCACTGGACAAAGGCTCTGGTGCTCAAGCATTGTCTAGGTCAGTGGTCATCTTCCAGTAGATCGGGATCTACTGGTAGATCTTGGAGCCTCTGAGGGGTGATCCTAACTGGTTTGGCCAGAAGGCTACCAAGTGCTGGCACTTCAGCTGCTCCTCCCTCCACTACGGTGCTGCTCCTTCCCTCTGCCCTGGAGCTGCCCCCAGGAGCCTCCTGCTTGCTGGGCAGGGTGGGGGAGACAGAGGAAGGGGTAAGAGGTCATGGTGTCCCCTCTGTACCCAATCTCCACAGAGTGAGCAGGGGGTGGCCTTCGTGAAGGGGTGGGGCAGGCACAGGGCCTCAGAGAAAGAGCAGGGCAGGATGGTCTAGGTATGAGGTAGGTCCTGGATTGACTTAAATTCAAAAAGTGATCTTTTGCCTAAAAAGGTTGGAGACTACTGGTCTAGGTAGCGAGGCTTAAACTGCATCATTAGCTGGTCACTGTGCAAAGGGGAAGAAAGTGGTGAGCCAAGGTCATGGTGCTGCTATCAGGGCTGCTACTGTAACCACCATGGAGAATGATTTTCCGCCCCCCTCCCCTCCATTTTTGTGGCTGAACTAAACAATCACATTAATAAGACTCTACAAGTAGATCAGTTCCACAGAATAAATGTGAGATTTTGCAGCATTCTCCCATGAGTCCATGACAGCATAGCTGCTCTGATGTTTAATACATTTTGGGGGTTTTTTTTTTTGGTTTTTTGTTTTTTTTACTTCTAGGCAGAGAAGTGCTTTGAATCAGACAAATTAAACTTGTTGCAATGTGGCTCCAGGCATACCTTGCTCAGGAGGGGAGAAGCCAAAATGGTGGCTGAAATCAATCCTCATAGATTCTCTTAGAGTTTGAAAAGTTCTATTATTAGGCCTATGAGTTTGATTGAGCCAGCATTAATATCATGTTGGGTGTCAGAATATGGCAGGAGATTAATTATATTGTTCTGTTTTAAAGCAAATCCATAGTGAACATGGCAGCAGTGGGAAAAAATCAACAAGCAACATAAGATATGTACATGCTGTGACAAGTCCTGAAAAGGGATTGCACAATCTTTCATCACATAAAATCCCATAAGAAAGAAATGCAGTACATATATCAAATATTTGCTAACTGAGCAGGGCTCAGGCAAAGGGTGTGAGCTCTGAAAATAAATCAGCTGGCTTCTTGCCACAGTCAACTCATGGATAAAAGTAGGTCAGGACAACTGGGCGTACCCTTTAAAATTTAGACCATAGAAATGTTGGTCATACATAGTAATGCAGGCAGCTGTTAGCAAGGGGAAGATCCTGAAATCCTTACTGGTGAGGCTATCATATAATTAAATACTTACTAAAGTTTCCAACAAGAAAACGATTCAGACATGTTGCTGACCTGCAGCTCAGAGGGTATCCGTTCCTTATTAAGTACTAAAAGACTTACCCAGCATTGCCCGGGTTCTTCAGGGAGGGGTGCTGGCATTGTGGGGGTGCAAGAGTCAGGGCAGAGCCTTGGAGATGTAGGGGCAGGCAAGGCAAGAGGGTGGGGATGTATATGGTGGGGTAAGAGATGCAGAGAGGTTCAGGGCAGAGGGTCCCATCCAGTGGTGCTTTCTCTCCCTCCCCCAGCTGTTAGGGCCTTTTCGTCTCTCTCCTCCCTCCATCCCCCCAGCTGTCTCAGCCAGTAGGGCCTTCTTTCCACCCCACCCCTCTGCTCCTCCCAGCCATCACGGACCTCCCTCGGCCACATGCTGTGGGCAAGGGCTGGGGGAGAGGAGAAGGATTCGGGGCAGGGAGACTACTTACCTGATCTGGTCACAAGCAAGGCGGTGGAGCCCCAGCCCTTCTGGCCACTCTCTTGGTGGTGCATCTGCCTCCCAAGTGGTCTCTTTGCAGCATTGCTCTCCCCTGCAGGCTCACTGCCCCCAGTGGCCATTCTGAGTATCATGTCCGTCCTCGGTGCCCCTCCCTTTCCATTCCCAGCACTTCCCATTTTCTTGGCATAAGTAAACCCTGACTGTGCTTTAAGTTAGGATAAGAGGAAGCTGCGCTCCAAATTTGGTGCTCCTAGCTCTTACTGTTTAGAACAGGGTTTCTTAAACTGTGTTCCGTGGCACACCGGTGTGCTGCGAGGCAGTCGGAGGTGTCCTGCAGAGAACAGAATTTAAAATAGCCATCCTTAAAGGGGCAGATCACCTTTTTTTTTCCTCAACAAAAAATCCTTGGTGTTCCTCATAAAAAAAATTGTTTGGTCCTTGGTCTTAAAAGGTTTAAGAAACACTGATTTAGAAGGAGTTCTTGAACAGACAGACACACACACACAGACAAGCTCACAGACAGGCAGACACACAAATCTAAAATATATGTAGAGATGTAAGTATTTTACATGCAGTTCTAATCACTGGTATTTGGGGAAATAGATTTGTTGCTAGCCATTTATTACTTAGGCAGCTTCTTAGATCAAGCACTAAGTCTTGATACTAAAGTTGCCTTCAGCTTTACAAATTGTATATTTCTTCTAAACTCCTTTCACTGAACTTGATATAAAACTTTCCTAGGACGTTATGACCTCTGGACTAATTCACACACTCACCCTGACTAGACCAACAGGCATTTGCAAAGATGCTACTTCCCAATTACTAGACAGGACATTTCAGCCCTGAAAATGCAGAGCTGTGAACAAAGTAATTTCATTTTTCCCCTTCCCTTTGTAAGATACTAGTACTCTCTCTGAGAGAGAGAGAGAGAGAGAGAGAGAGGAGATGTTGAATGATCATGGAAAGAATAAGACAACTGTACTTTTACCAGCAGCTAAAGGAAATGTATTTTAACTCAGCTGTTAGAGAACTGTGTTTCTGGAGCTCATAAAATGTCTAGCTCTAAGTCCCTAGATCTGTGTGATTTATGTAGCAATTCTGTGTGTCATCAGCTATACACAAATGTATTAAAATACTTCTCCTTTCTTCCATCTCTCCTCCTGCAACCTATGTACAATTTCCAGTAGATTCTGCAGTGTGATATTAAGAACACTGGAGAACAAAATAAACTAACTAATTAATTAACTACAAGCAAACAGCACAGAACAGTGGCCAATCTGATGGGTCACCAGTCACATCTGTGATCTATAGAAGAAAAGTTCTTCATGACACTTTTATGACGGTTTTATCCTACACTGAAGAGAACAAACCTGTAATGATTAAAATTATGAAAAGAATGAGAGACACCAGTGCTTGTGATTTAAATGACTAAAATATAACAGAGAAATAAATAAGACAATCTTGTTTTATTTACATGTAAGTTAAATACAGGTCGATTTAGGTTTAGTGATTGAGCGATGCACTGTTACCAAATGACTTTCTCTCTCTCTCTTTACCACAAACATCAACACAAAGAAAATACTTGGAAACCATTCCCTTTTCATTGAAAAGGTGCAGAATAACATTTAAAGTGTCTCAGCTGTTGCTGAGCAGTTTGAAAAAGCCAGTCTGTGTTTGTTGGCACCCTCAGGGTGCCGCTAGATCAGTACCCTCTTACATAATGATAACATTTGCTTACCTGTGCCTGCTTTTGAGAAAACAATCCACAGAATGAGCCTTAGCAGCAGACAAAAGATTTGCTACACAAACACACTGATGTTTTGGCCACTTACTCTGTTTTCAATAAGCCTAAAATATTAAGATGCTGCATTTGTTTGCTGTTAATGTTTGTCTTCTACTAGGCTTATAGAAAGTCCATTTTTAATCTTGTCTTTAGTTTTTGAACAATTTTTGTGATTATTTTTGAGGTTGTCAGAGAGGGAAAAAAAACAGTATAAGATCAGCCTTCAGCATCCAAAATCTTATCCCTCCAAAGTGGGTTATAATTAGCTTTTATTAAGTATAATATTCAAACTGTAATTTATTTCGCACCTATGCTAAGATAGGGTAATGAAATCTAATTTTTCAGTGCATCTGGTGATCACCACAGAGGCCAGGAAGGATTTCATCCTATTCAAAGTATTGCCCAACTGTCTTGGTGATTATCAGTGTGCGGTTTTTCTCCACCTTCCTGTAAACCAGTGTTTCTCAAACTGTGGTCTACGGAGGAGACATCTCCAGGGGCTCCATGAGGCTGACAAACTAGAAACATCAATAGGTACAACACAGACAATCAGTGGATCGCTGGGGCTCCACATACATTTTTATTCATGTAAAGGTCTCCGGAGCTCAAAAAGTTTGAGAACCGCTGCTGTAAACCATCATGTACTCTCCATTGCCTGAAGCAGCATGTTTAATAGTTCAATGAGATTTAGTTTGGCAAATCCTCATAGTATGATTGTGTATCATGCTCCTGCACACTAGGATGTGGAAAGTGGGGGAGAGAAAAGCCGCTACATCACAAAAAACTCCCAGGTAAATAGCAAAACAGGGAGATATCAAACTTTTAAAACACCACCAACAAAAGATTCCTGGAATTTGGCATGAGTCAATAACACAAATACTCTTCCCCCATTATATTGAACCAACTTTACTACTGGTACCATACCAGCTTTGCTGTCACAGTGGTGTGCCAGGGACAGCAAAGAGACTTCACTGGGTTTGAGTTGTATACTGCAAGATCAAGAAGCAAATTATGCTATGATACTCTGTGGCCTTGCTAGTTTTATCTATATCGCATTAATGATAAGAACTTTCAGCCCTGGACTGTCAAAATGGGTGTAGGGTCCTTGTTGTCTTCCTCACATCTTCTGGATTTCCCAGATGCTGTAAGTCATGAGATTTACTAATCTGCTGCATTGGATGAAAAAGCAACAGAATGTTTGTTGTCCTCCTCTTTATCTTCATTTTGCTTCATTGCAAAATAATCAAGGGACTCGTAAAGTGTGGAAGTAACCTTGAAAAACCAAAGAGAATTCCCATCAAATTAACTTTTTCTATTAAAGTGTGTTTACCACATGTTGTCTAGACTAGGGCTCAAGGAACAAAAAAGGAACACGATTAGCGGTATCTCAAAAGTCATGGAGTTCTACATTCAGAGATAAACCCAAGTCACAATATTTGAATTCAAGTACGAAGTCTTTCCAGTGTTTGGAACCAGAGGTTTCATTTATCCCATTACAGGAAGAGTCCAGCTGCAAAATTCTCACTTGGATCTGAATCCCACACAATTTGCTGTAGTTTATCCAAAATTTTAGTTCAGGTCTATTCCTATTTTTAAATGGCACCAAAAATGGGCTGGAGTTTCTACCGCTATGACTTTTCAAGTCCCCACTACACATGGTTTTATTCATAAAACCATAGTTCTTTTACCTTTAACTGCTATTTTTTATGTAATTTATCTAGTGTCCAGTTACTAGGGTATCTAAGTGCTATTTGGAGCGGTACATCATGTCCCAGTTTTCATTTCATGGGTATTTGTGGATAAAAATGTTTGAGGTCTTTAAATGAGATCTGCAGCAAAAAGCAGGGAGACCTAAATATCTCCCCCCAGACCTATATACATATGTGTATGCACAGCACAAGATTCTGTTACACTTGGGCTACGTCTACACTTCAGGCTTCTTGCACAAGAACTGTACTGCGCAAGAGTTCTTGTGCAAAAATTCTTGTGCAAGAGCGCGTCCACACTGCCTTGTGCTTTTGCGCAAGAGATTTGCTTTTGCACAAGGAACATCCATGGAAGTGTAGACGCTCTCTTGCGCAAGAAAGCTCTGATGGCCATTTTAGCCATAGGAGTTTCTTGCACAAGAAACCCCTGTTGCCCATCCATGCTGCCTTCTCGCACAAGAGCTCTTGCACAAAAGGACTTATTCCTCATGAGGAGAGGAATAGCTTTTGTGCAAGAAGCCCTCTGTTCCAAGGCTTTACTGTAAATTTACTTGCTCAAGAACGCATGTGCAGTGTAGACACTCTGCAAGTTTTTGTGCAAGAACAGCTGGTCTTGCACAAAAAGCCTGCAGTGTAGATGTAGCCTAGGTGTGTAAGCCACAAAATCATCTTGATAACTCTCCCGAATTTCTCAACTTTGTACTGTACACAGAAATGTGATAATGGAAGTCAGGAATTGGATGTTTTTTAAATCTGTCTTCACAATACTGCTTTGTGCTAGGTATTATTGTCCCCTTTTACAGAGGGGAAACTGAGGCCCAGAGAGATGAAGTGACTTGCAGTAGGGAATCTGTGACACAGCCAATAATGTAACCCAAGACTGGATTCTAAGCCCTGATCATCTTCTCACTCCAACAGGAAGAAAACAACTACAGCTGCCTATGATACCTAAACAAGTAGAAATTGTGGTACTCCCAGCTACATACCACCCTCTTTGTAAGAACATAAATCAGAGATGGTAGATAGATTTGCACTAAATATAAGATGCAGATACAGACTTGCATTGACATAGATTGCAGCAACATGGCACTTGCTGTCTCCTAATGTAAAGCAGGGAAAAATATAGCACAACCTCATCTAAAAATAATCATGAAAGGAACCAAAAAACTCTCTAAAGTGCTGCAAACTTCTGTGAGACCGGTCACCAGATCGAACTAATAACAAGGTAGTCTTAGAAATGAAAGATCACACTTTTAAAATAATCAAATTCGGTTTTAGAATTTAAAAGGCACAGTGTATATAGCACAGGAAACAAAGCAATATCTGTTCCTAACTTTTAGAAAAGTTAGTTTGGAATATAGTGTAGCGTCTAGGTGTAAGATATTTACTAGCTTCACTAAACTAGAACCATTGCAGTTTATGGAGTCTCTTCAATGATTTATGAGTTCCATTTACAGCAATGGAAACCTGTGGCCCATAAGTTGCATGCAGTCCATCTGTGTGTGACCTTTGAGTTATTGTGTACCATTACCCACACACAAGATTGCCAAATGTCACTGTTTTTTCCCCGACCAGTATGGATTACTCAATAGGCAGACTAAGCATGTGCTTAGGGCACCAGCAAAGCAGGGGCACCAAAAAATGAGATTTGATGGTATAGTATTGTTTTTATTTTGGGGGCACCATAATCTTTTCAGTGCTTAGGGCCTCTAAAGGTCTTAATCTGGCCCTGAGTATTACTAAAGTGGTACACATGTAAAGCAAGGGTACATGAAGTGAAGTGGGAGCTGACTGCACACAACATTGACTGTGAAAGCCGTGTGCTCCCTCTACATCCAATCAAAGCACTGCTACTGTTCAATTGGCACATTGCACAAATTCTAAGTACGCAAATGCAGTTAGCCAAACTATGTATCCTGGGAGACCATCTTGGTTATGACAATCTTGTGGCCCACAGAGAGGAAGGAGGGCCACTCACACAACCTATTCACTAACCTAGGTTGCCCGTTGCTGATTTAATCACCCTGCATTTTCATTAAAAAAAGAGAAAGGACTTTGTTACATAAAGGAACAAACAGATGCAAGGTCATGACAGGAGGCGACTGTGTCTCATAGTCATTTAGTTATGAAACAGCAGCAGAACTTTCGTTATTATAGTCACACATCTGGTTGACTCTTGTTGACCATGCAAGTCCATCCCAGCTAATGACTAGCAATGAACAGATTGCTTTCCACCCTAACTTTGATGCTTGCCTTCTCATTCCCAGCACTATTTTTCATAGAACCATTTTTCTCATGGCTGAGGTCATTAATAGCTTTTATTGGACCAACAGAAGAGGGGCCACTGAAAGATATTACCTCACCCACCTTGTCTTACTAATATTCTGGGATCAACATGGCTATGATGAGAGTGCAAAAATTATTGTGATATTTCCCATAGTATTACAAAATAAACTGTTTAAAGGCAGGGTGAATCCGTGCATTCTGGTGAAGAAGTTTTCAATTATATTTCTTTTCCAAAAAATTACTCTTGTCTTGACCATTTAAGCTTCCCTCTTCCCTCTGCAAATACCAATCAAGTTTCAGTAGTGGTAACAACACCACTAATGTGAAACTGAAAATGGGGTGAGAAGCCAGAAACCTCTGTATTTTAACATCAGCTCTGTCAATAACCACTTCTGTGTCCTTTGGCATTTTGCCTAACCACTTTGGGCTACATTTAGTGCAAGCCTGTGGCACACCCAGGGATTTCAATGGAAACTGTGTCTGCTAGAGTTGAATTTGATTTTTTGTGTCTCAAGCTGCATCTATACTACAAGCCACTTCTGCAAGAGGAAATGCAAACGGAGCACTCATTTGCATAGGTCACGCTCTCAATTGCATTTCCTCCTCGGATCCCTGTTGCACAAAAGGTTTTTGCATAAAAAAGAGCTGTGTAGATGGCTCCTTTTTGCGCAAAAACTCCCTTTTGCACAAGAGCCGTTCTTCCTCAAAAAATTAGGAAGAATGGCTCTTGTGCAAAACAGGGGTTTTTTTGCACAAAATGGAAGCGGCTACGCTGCATCTTTTTGCACAAAAACCCCTTGCACAAAAAGAAATGGCAGAAAATATGCTAATGATGTCATGACTTATGCTAATGAGTCCCTCATTAGCATATTTTCTGCTGCAAAAACGTGTAGTATAGACATAGCCTCAGTATCCCAATCTGTTAACCTAGGTACTATGGGAATTGATCATTTAAGCTTTATACAGTGGCTTGATTATGTCAAAGGCTATATTTAAGTGCTAGCTCCCCTCCCCAATACACAGTTACAGCTAGTGTGCTTAAGGTTAGGTGACTAACTTCTGAACAAATGGAAATCAGACCCAGCTGTGAATTTTTATGCCACTGACATTTATGGCAGACTCTGGGCCAGCTCTAGGCCCTGATGGAGGTACAAAGATGGCTTAATGAGCTTCATGGGGTCTCCCCAGAAAAAGTGGATCTGTAGGCAGGTGTGGTTCTATGCCACCTGCAACGTAGTGATGTCCAATGCATAGCCAGGGAAAAGGGGTATGGCTGAGTGCTACTGCACTCCAGTGATCTTCAGCCACTAGAATGATGCTTTGAGCTGAACCAAGTCCAAAGGGAGGAGCAGAAAGACAGTGTGAAGTCAATTTGCCCAATCCCCAGCTACAGTGGGTGCTGCTCCAGCACAGTTGATCTGAGGCCCCTGGCTTACTTGACATGTATGTACTTGTGGTCTGTGCTTTCCTCACAATGTCAAGTATACTGAAGCTGCTAAGCATGGTTGCAGTAGCAATGGGTGACAATGCTGTGGCATGCTATAGCACTTCAGGGGAAGAGGATGATACAGTACTTTGCTCTGCCTTCAGACAGCATGTGGAGCTAGCCCTCACTGTGCCCTATCACCATTCCCAGAAGCTATTTTCTTTTGTGAGTTAACCTGTCTCTGAGACCTCTGTGGCCAGGTATTCGGTCCATTTCACTTGTTTATTTTAACCCAATCTCTGTAATTATCTGTTTTCTTGCTGCCCTCCTTTTCTAGAATTTGTAGTATGTCAATATAGGAGCCAGGCCTTTCTGACAGAGATTTTAAAATAAAATTAAGCAAGTTTGTTTGCCTTGCCCTTACTGACAAGGCATTTCATTTTATTTCATGGTATAATGTTGGGCAGTAGGATATTATACTAAACTACAGCAACTTCCTGTTCTCCTAATAAATTTGGTCAATTGAACCTCTATGAATACCTCTCTTTGGAGCTCACTTCTTGTAACCTCACACCCGCTATAAATCGCTTACCCATTCTGATGAGTTTGAGGAAGAATTTCTCTCATCTGCTTCATTTATCTCATTTCCTTCATCCAGTTCCATCACCTGAAGTGTCTGTTCCTCATGGGTCCTTCTCTCTGACACTGAAGGGAGGGGAACACTTTTATGTGACATATCACCATTATTTTGTTCATTCCACATTTCAGGAGTCACATCAGTGGTTTGTGAAGGGCTAGAGGATCTGCCACTTGATGGAGTCTCTGATATTTTTTCCCATGGGAGGATGTACTGTAATGATCTTTTTAAAAACTAAAAAAGTATGTATCTACACTTAAAAGAGGAGAATTTGTGACCACCTTGACCAGTGGATTTGTGGATATTTATTAGACTGTATAAAAGTATATGGCCACAGAACCTCCTGTAATGAGCCTGCCAGTCTAGCTTGACAGTCTTGGGTTTGTGGGGTTCAAACAAGCACTACAAAAATGTATGTGTAAACAGCACTTAGCTTTGGTTGGAGCTTAGGCTCTGAAAGCCACCTACTCCCTGGGTTTCAGAGTCCAAGCTGCAGCCAGACCCACAACATCTACGTGGCTGATTGGAGCATGGTAATGCAAGGCCCATCATCCCAAGTCTGTTGAATTAGGTTGGGAGACTCCCAAGTGTGGGGTGTATAGATGTAACCAAAGGGGCCTCAGAGCCTATTCCAGCCATTGACCTCCATGGAAGAACTCCACTGCTGTTCCTCAGCCACGGAAGGAAATTTCCTTCCATCTGCCACTTTACTACAGCCATTTCTGGGATAGAACTTTTATTTAACAGAGGAAATCAACACTCCTGAAAAAATTTAATTTGGAATGTTAGAAGAATATTATAGCCATTTGCAGGTGCTAAAATCCCACGATTCATTCAGTTCACCCAGGTTGGCAACACTGCAATACCACCTTCCCTTGTCTACTGTTCCCCAGGGGGAGTAGTTTTCTGATCTCTCCATGTACTACTTCCACCACTGTTCTCTGTACACCTCTCTAGGAATGAGAGATGATGGGCATTTGTATAAGGTAAAATTCATAAGCTGGCAGCCTTTGATAATATTTTTATGAGACAGGTGAAAACACCCAAGAATTGCTACAGCCTTAATAAAATCCTGAGAACCACCCATTGTGAAAATGTGATAAGGAGACAAGAGATCACAGAAAGCTTTCTGCGGCCTCTTCTCTGCTTATCACTCCCATGTGATGAAAAGGCAGGATTTGCCATTCATCAGAACAATTGAGACGGATAAGTGCAATAGTTGCATTTCCTCTTTATTATGATTATTATTTGCATTAATGTAGCAGTTCAGTGCCTCAGTCATGAGCCAGGACCTCCTTATGCTAGGTGCTGCACAAACATCGAACAAACCGCCACATTAAATTCATGTTTGGGATGTGAACAGTATTAAAGGTAGTTCTTTTGAATGGGAAAGAGAAATATATTGACAAGAAAAAAACCAAAATTATTTACAGATCTATTTAACTGAACAGGGAATGCAGAGCAGCACTGGTGCCTGAAACCAGGCTGCAAACACTCTATTAATGATTATTATGTGAATTACCATAGAACTTTAAGGGCTAAATTCTGGCTCTTTTGTCCCCATTAAAGGAGAAAGCAGTACTGATTTGCCATTTCTATTCTGGCTAGCCAAGGATCTCCACAAATGCCCACTCAGCCACCCCACAGACTATTCTTTCCAGGATCACAAGTTAGCCACACAAGCGACTATGTGCAGTGGTTGCTGGGGCATAGTTGTTATGGGTGCACAGGAAGGGTCCATGCAAACACATGTGGAGTAGGCCTCCTACTGAATGCCTGGAATGCCTCACCTATAGCTTATTGCTTGGAGGGCCAATGAAGAAACCAGGACAGGAGGTGCAAGAGTTGTACTATTCAGTTCCCCTTCTTGTGCTGCTTTTTGGGTGTACACATATCCTGAGACCCTCATTTTGCTGTTAGGGATTATATGCAAAAAAGCACTGTCACTTACCAGAGTTTTCTGAGTTCTGCTGCTTTTTGTAACAGAAATAAAAACAGGCCACTGATGCTAGGCAAGGAAAGATGGCTAGAATTGCCATAAAATTATACTTTTCCGTTGATCCGGCTTCTGCAAACAAACCTTCCAAATCAAGTTGATTACTTACAAGCACAATATATAGACCATGTTATGTTTTTAGATATGTGTGTCCTATTGCCTCAATGGCTAGGTTCACTCCAAATAAATTATCAGATTCCTCTTCCCCCAAAACACTGGCACACGTTTGTGATTTTGCTACATGAGTAATCCTTTCAGTAGGACTACTCACATAAACAAAGTTTCACAGTGTTTGCAGGACTGGGCCCAAAAATAAAAATGATTACTATTTAGCAATTATGCAATAAAACATTGCATGTGTGTAGCATTTTACTACATTTAAATCACTTTATGATCATTGCAATGTTTGCTTTGAGTGAATACAAAATGCCCATATTTGTATCTCCTAATCTTGCTTGTTTTTATCAATTAAATGAAATAATGAAACACAATAAATGATAAAAATACTATCACTTGGGAAAGCCTATGACTAAGATGAGTAACTGTGTGACTGTATTGATATAACCTTTGTCCTTCCTTATTCCATCACTCTCTCTAACATTTGTCATCCTCATTCATTGCCTCACATCTAAAATATAGGCAGTAAGCTCTTCCAGGCCTCATGGTATCTTTCTATGCCTTCTGTGAAGCAAGCAGCAGACTTAATGGCTCTAATAATAATAATCTATTAATCCTCTCAGCAATCATATGATGTCAAGAAATGAGCATTTTATAGCCGAGGAAGCTAAGGCAGAGAGATCAAGTGAATTGGCCAGGACTATTGAAGGAGTTAAGTGTCAAAGCCAGAATAAGGACATGGGTAGTCCAAATGCCCTGACTTTTGGTCAGAGCATTGGTTCTATAACCCTTCAGGGAGAAAAAAAAAAGTAAATAACACACTTCTGATTAAAAAACTCCAGAGAGACAAACGGCAATAAGGTTGACTGCTTCTTTACCTTTCTCTTCAACAATTAGAGTTGTTCCATTTCCCATCCCTTTTTTCATGAAGGGTATTTCAATAGTTATCTCACAGAAGTAAATTCCAGTATCGTTTCCTTTCACAACGTCTATCCTTAGCACCGTTTGATCCTTATGTGTGTAGTTGACTGTGTAGTAAAGTTTTGAAAATAGGTCTTTGCTGGTGCCTTCTTTACAAGTGAGATTTTGTATTTTCCAGGTTACTCTAAATCTCTTGACAGAGTCATTGTTTTTCCAGGAACAGTTAATTTCGGCTGGCATTCCAGTGGATACCCTTATTTCTGATGGTGTCTGTCTGACTGATAATTCATTCGTCTCATTGGCTATTGACAAAAACCAAATAACTTTAAGTTTAGAACAGGAATAATAAAATAGCACACTAATATTATTAATAATGTATGGCATTATTTAACCTATTTTATGACAGCAACCTCATTTCTTAATAGTTAATTACTCCTGTTTTCCCTTAAATAAATACAAACACCTTAGTGTGACCCTGAGAATACCTCTGTTGCCAAATGGCAAAGGGTTCTTTGTTCTGTAACAGTAAACTTTGGCAGGCCTAACAAACTTATGACACCCAATGCACTGCAGACTTGGTAACCAAAGCCAAAGAGGGTCAAGTGAGGTATCTAATTAAAAACTTATTGTTGCAACATGTATGTATGGCTGATATTTAAGGAATCATGAATGGAAGTGAAAATGTGTTTTTGAGATGGAGTCCCTGGTAGAGCACAAAAACAAATATTTCAGACAAGAAGATATACCTGTCTGCCTTGGTTCAGATGTAAAATAAGCTTTGTAAGCCAACACGGTGGACCAGAACTTATACTTGTTTATGCTGAACAAACTAAGACTTAAACTCCAGATTTTTAATTCCCATTTAAATGTTCTTTTCCTGTTTTTTCTAGAAGGGTACGTGTATGCAGCAGTGTTACTTTGGAATAACTGACATTATTCTGAAATAACATAGTCCGTGTCTACAGTACAAGCAACAAAATGTTGAAAAAATGTCGAGCTGGAGGACTTCTTACTCCAACTCCTGTAACCCTCATTCTACGAGGAGTAAGGGAAGTCGGAGGAAGAGTGATCTTTCTCAGACTTCCTGCTGTGTATACAGTGCCAAAAGCCGAAATAAGCTATTTTGACTTAAACTATACAATTGACGTAGCTGAAGTTGCATAGTTTATTTCGGCTTTAGCCCTGCTGTATTGACATGCCCTAAGTGACTTCAGTGAAGAGTGATAACACCTAAAACTCACTATGTTCTGCCAGGATACAGCTATGGGCAACAAACTTTAGTCATCCGTTGGCATGTCTGAGAGCCCATTACACTACAACAATAGCGATTTTGTAATTGGCTAAAATTCAGTCACCTTAATCATTCATTTATTTTGTATCTGCACAGCAGTTTTCCTGCCATCACAGTCAGGGCTCAAATTCAGTCAGTAGGTGTTAGTATGACACACCAGCACCTCTTTCATGTGGCCTTATTCTCCGTAATCTAATCTTTCATTTAAAGGTCTCCAGCTGTTATAGAGACAGTCTCAAAAACATGCACCAAGAGTGATGGATGTAGTGACATCTGCTGAGTTCACAGAACCCTAAACAGTAGCTCTGTGGGCTATGAATTGTTCCATTCAGCTGAACTAAGATGCCCACTGATAACAATGTTTTCATTGGAAGTCTCAGAGGCGTAACCAGGTTAGACTGTGTCTTTAATAACGAGTTGTCCTGTGGCACCTTAGAGACTAACAAAAACATAGAGTATCATGAGCTTTCATGGGTAAGATCTACTTTTTCAGATGAGCTGGAAGTGTTTAGCTATTTCACCACTTACCAAAGGCTGCAAAAAAGGGGTGGGGGAGGACAAGGAAACCATATATTATGATGTACACACTCTCCTGGCACCTAGGCTTATCCGTTAATCTTGTCGACTACACACATTCCCTCCCCCCCCCCCCGTTGTCTCTGATACAGAGGCAGCAAGGGGAGGAAGCAGGAGCCGGTGCTGGGGGAGCCATCTAAAAACCCAGTTTCCGCCAGACCTGGCTCCATGGTGCTTCTTCTCTCCCCCTTACCCCCCCTCCCTCCTCCTCGCTGCTGCCTTTATCCAGGGAAGCAGGGAAGGCTGCCGCATCCCATGGAGGAGTCTCTGTCCACAGGGAGAGCAGACCCCTCACAAACAAGGGCTGCCGTTGCCCTGCACTACTGCCTCTGTATCAGAGACAGCAGCACAGGGCAGCATGCAGCCAGTCTGTGCAGAGAGCTGGTTTTTAAACTGACTCCCCTTGCGGACCGGTTCCTGCCTAGCACCCTGTGCTGCTGCCTGTAATAGTGGGGATCCTTGGGAGTGGGGCTGGGAGCACACTCACTACTTACCTTCCCCATGGGAACTATCTAATTGTCATGTTACCCCTAAGATTTCATGCAGTTACATGGCTATTCAGTTACCCGATATCTAACATCCCTACTCAAAGGGGAGCAAAGCACAAGAAGTCCAGTGGGGATATATAAGCCTCTCTGAGGGGAAGCCAAGGATGAGTGGCTAGCAGGTTGTATTTGTATTTGGCCCTCAGTGTGGGGACCCCAGGACCCTAAGCAGCTTGCATGATCATATTTTATACAGGTACACAAACTTCTGAGAGTGGTAGCTCATGGGAGCAGAGATTGGAAGAGTACCATGCCTTCCCCATCTCCTGATTCACAACATTGCCTAACCCCACTTCTGCCAGTAACTGGTTCCAAAATTGGTTAAAAGTCATAGCGTGGGCCGTTGTGTGGACCAGGTGGTTCAGTAGCCATGTGAATACAATCTCCAGTCTGTTTGCTGAGATGGCAAAGGAGGGGTCCTCTCTGGTGCCAGTTGTAGTGATGTGCTCAGTTTTGCACTGAGATCTAGATTTGGACTCATGCAGCATCCCTAGTATGAACTAGTGCATGGGATAAAAGAAGTCAGCCAAACACTACTATTTAGCTTCATGAGTTTACCTGAAATTCAGGCTGATTTTACATTCCTTATTCAGGGAAACTTCCTGTATCTTTAATGTCGACTACATTATACTCTCATTCTCAGATGTCATTGCTAGTCATAGCTCCCAGTAAGATAATTTCTCAGAAAAAAACTGCACACATTGTACCCACATAGAAAATAGAAGCTTGTATTATCATTATACTGCATATTTGTCAGAATAAATATATATTCCTGTCTAAGTGCCCTGACTGTGCTCATAGACACATATTCATAGTTCTGTCATTAAAAGGGTTCTTTTTTCTTCCTTTCCCCACACAAAATTTCAGTTTGTCAAAGTTATGCCTCTTAAATCAACCATAATTTGATGTTGATTTTAGAGTACCCTATTTTTACCATCATAAGAACAATGGTAATAGTTATTAAATTACCAATCCTTTAAAAATTCAACTATCGTAATTAATTCTCTGACTTTCTGTGCAAGTCCCACATACTATATGAATCATACTGCACCATCTCCCAAAGCTCATGCTCAATTTTCACTGAATTCTTAGGACCAGTAAATCCTGTACAACCAAATCTGGAGTGAGGACACAGGATTTGGTTCTATATTTTTCATAATCTTAAAGGCCTTGGTTAAGTTTTATCAGAGTGACACAATTTCTTTTGAAAGTGTGAGCATGGTTTTTCTTCTTTTGAACTGATGAAGTATTTCTTCCTACCTAGAGAAGTTATAAGAAATCTTTCTCCTTCTTTCTTTTCACAGTGTGGTTCACACCAGCTATCTATCTAATCCATCCTGATCATGTATAGTCCTACTGCGAAGGGTCCAATTCCAATCCGACCGAAATAAATGGCAACATTCCCATTGTTAATAGAGTAATTGCAGCATCAGTCCCAAGATTTGTAAAGTTCACTTAAAATTTTATTAAGATTTTAAGAGAATACCCACAAAAAACCTGATTTTTTTCCCTTCTACTTTACAATATATTGTCTTTCAGAAAAAACAGCTATTGTCTTATTATTTAAAGCTTGTACATTGTATCATTGGTTTGCGTGGCACTTTAAATGCTGGGTAAAAATATGGTATGCACTTGAAAGACATTAGAACTGAAATATAGAATGTCTAAGATAGAACGTACTGTTGAATACACATCAGAAAAAATGAGGGGAAAGTAGAGTATTTAAATAATTGTATTAAGTTACTAAAGTGGCATAGTACATATTATAATAATTTCAAGGTTTTGAGTTCATTCTTTTTAGTTTTCTTAAATACTATTATTGTATAGTGCAGATTTCCTGCATCTCTGCCTTATTGGTTTTCTCTCTCTTTGTTAAAAACACATATGAAAACATCTTTTTCCCCTTGCCTAAAGATCTTAATTTCTCTGTACTTACTCTCTTCTTTACTATTTAGTGCTACAACGATAATATTTAATACTTCAACTTTTTGCAGTAGTTAGTCTGAAAGCTGTGATACAAAAACTAAAACTGCATTGTGGTTCAGTAATTATTTGTTCTCGAATAAAGTTTCCAAAATATTTTAAAATTTTACACTGAATTAATCGCAATGAAAGAGCTTACTATATAAGTCTAATTTTTAATTGAAGGAAATTCATAAGTATTAACTTGGTAACATGTGGAAATTAGTACAAGGTAATATTTTAATCTTTTAATTTCCGCTAGGATAAACATTTTGGAGCAAATACGCTTTGAGCAACTTCCAATCACATGGTATTGTGCCAATAGTAACTTGGATTCAGCACAAATAATATTTTTGCCTTCTGCACTATAAAAACCTGGGTAATGTTCTCTCCAGCATGCACACATAAAAATCTAGTATATGGAAGTGGGGGGCTTATGCAGCAGCTACATATGTTTTAATTGATCTATACATATTTTGGGCATTAGCTTTTGGATTTTTAAAACCAAGATGATTTTCTTGATTAACCCTAGAGAATTACATATGTTCCAACGGCACCAAATCCCAACCCCGCAAAACATCAAAGAACTTACCCAAGCAGCCAAAGCACTCTGTAAAAAGTATAAGCATCAGAATAATTGTGGTCATCATTAAGGATTATTAAAGCTCTCATCAGTGCCTCTCAATTGATAGCCTGTAAGACAAGAAGGAGTGAGAGACAACACGTTAGATTTGCAGACTTCCTGTTCCCTCTACCGTAGTGACTTCTGAACATCTGAAAGCAAAACAACTTCACTCCAAATGCATCTCTTGAATTAGTGACAACATTTGCTCTTTCAAAACTGAGCCCAATCTGTCTGAATTGCTGAAAATTCTTTTTTAATTAAGTCTAATTACTAGTCTCTTAATAATGAACACTAACAGCCTCTTGTTTTCTTCCTGGAATCTGAACACAGTACTGAGCACCCACATCTGCAAATGCCCCATTTTGAACTCAGTTTCTGGACTGTCACTCATTTGGAGGCACTTGATAAAGATGAGATAAACAAAGCACAAGCATTTTTCCCACCGTGTCGTCTAACCTTTTTTTGATGCTTTGCATTCTGTCTACACCACAGACTCCACTATTGTAATCACTGATAGAAAAGTAATGGTGGAAAAGCACTTGTGAAATGACAGTGTAAACCTCAGCTGAGGAGGTGTTATGCCTAAGTGATATGTTTAAATTTATTAGGTCAAATTAAATACAACGTTTGAGTTACTGAATGTAGTTAATTATGAACAAAAGTACATAAGCATACTCGATGGTCCATTTTCTGTCTCCAGACAAAATCAAACACTGTTAATTTGTGCCCATATTTTGGCTGCCAGTGTGCATCACACAACCCATTATGTAGATGATTTACCATAGATTCAAGAAAGAAAGAAAGAAAGAAAGAAAGAAAGAAAGAAAGAAAGAAAGAAAGAAAGAAAGAAAGACCTTAATTGTTGGTCACATGGATCCTGCAACCATACACTTAATTCTGCATTGCCGCTCTGTGGGTCAGTTGCAGAGAAGGCTCTCTAAGGGCCAGTCTACACTGCCAAAATAAACCCGTTCTGAGAATGGGAAACAGGTGCAGCTGGACTAGTTATCGGTGTAGTTGAGCTGCAACTGTGGATGAAGATAAACCATATTCAAAACTGTTTCATTAACTGTGATTAAATCCTAAACCACAGTTACTTGAAATAGTGATGACTATAGTTCAGGGATGAGGAACCTTTTTTGGGGTTGGGGACCGCTGCCCCACACCAAAAAAATCAGTCGGGGTTGCACACAAGTGCGAAGCAAAACGTGGTCTCTGCTTGAAAGGGGAGAAAGACACTCCTCGCATTCCCCTTGCACACTAAAACCTAGAGGGGCCCTGCCTAGTAGATTTTGTGTGCTTCAGCCCTATGGTGGGCTTTTGATAGTGGCTAATGCCAGATGCTTCAGAAGTGAACCGTACTATGGTGTTCAGTCCACCATCCCCTACCATTCAGTCTCAGTTTTTAGAGGTCAGAGGTTTAGGGACACTCAATTCTAATGTATCTTCCTTTGCGATTGGGTGACCAAAACTGCATGCATGGATTTATACAGCAGCATTATAATGTAAAATATTTGTGTCTTACTAGCTATCCCTTTCCTAATGCTTCCTAACATTCCATTAGCTTTTTTGACTGCCGCTGCCTGCTGAGTGGATGGTCACAGAAAACTATCCACAGAAGACAGGATACTGAGTAGACTGTCTACTGATTTGGCCCAGCAAAGCTGTGCTTATATTCCTTAACCATTAGTGCTCCCCAAGGTCATTTGCCAGGGAGCTGCCCATTTCCAAGGTCTACCAGAAGAGACAGTCACCCTTCTGCTGCTTCCTTTCCCAAATGAGCTCTCACAGCCCTTTTTGGGTGTTCCATGAGCCCTCCCCAGCTGGATCCACACAGGTCTAATAATTCAACAGTTTAACACTCAGAAGTATTATCAGAATATTTCTAGAATTAAAAAAACCAGATAATTCAGTGTGTTGTGGGTTACGGCTTAGGTCTCATTTTCTTGGGCATTGCAAAACTTGGGCAAGCAAAACTTCATTTTATGAATGCTTTTCTGGCTTGGTTGTGTGCAAACTCATTTATAATTGAAGAAAAATCTAATTTATGTGCAACATCACCGTTAATGTTAAGCATTGAGAGCCCATTCAAATGCTCTTGTCCCATTGTACAATCATGATAGTTCTTTACTTGTTTTTAGGGTTGTCAAGCAATTAAAACAATGTAATCGTGTGAGTAATCGTTCATACTGCCCCTTTGAAATGCTGCAGCAGGATTTCCAAGGGGCAGCATCATGGGAGCCCAGGATCAGATGGAGTCCCCAGCTGATCCTGGCTCAGTGCAGCACTGCCCTTTTGAAAGGCTGCCCTGGTGTTTCAAAGGGGCAGCACCGCAGGAGCCCAGGATCAGCTGGAGTCTCCAGTTGATCCCAGGCTGTGTTGCACTGCCCCTTTGAAATGCCAGGGAGAAGCTTCAAAAGGGCAGTGCCACACAGCTGCCCCCTGGTGCTGCCCTTTTAAATGCAGCGGCGGCATTTCAAAGGAGCAGCGCCTCAGAAACACCTGTAGTTAACATGTTAAAAACATTAACGTGTTAATTGTGCTCTGCATTAATCATAGGCGTTAACACATGTTAATTGACAGCCCTACTTGTTTTAACACGTTGAATGTTCATTCGCCTGAAGCCACTGATGCAGGGAGTCTGACAAAAATATGTAATGCAACTGTGATATTAGGAAATACAGTTGACAGGCCAAGATCTCACCCTCAGACCAAGCAAAATCACTTTACAATAACAGAATTAATTATGACTTTCAAGATCTCTAAACTGTGCAAAGACTATATATAGCATTTCATAATGTAGACTCACTAATCACAGAAGCTACTCCAGTTCCAATCATGCAGATAAAAACTCAGATGTGACTGAAAAATGTGAAGGTCTCAGGTCCCACAATAATTTAAATCAATTTTTTGCAGGTATATTTAGCTTTTTGTTGTTGTCTCTGTTATATCTGCAAGGTGTATAATAAATGGAAATGACTTGGTAGAAAAATGTCAAAATTTGAGGCCCCTTTGTCTCCTGAGGTGTGGGCCAAATGGCCCTCCGTCCCTTCCTCCTCCTGATAGGGCCCGGCTGGAGATTGCTTTTGGCTCCATCAGCACTTGCTGTGGGGACTTGCAGACAATTTCTGGGATCGCTTCCCTTCGAAGTAGTAGGTTATGGTGACAGATCTCAGTGGGACTAGGGGATTTGGAAGGCTAACTCCTTGAGAAGTTTAAATCTTAACTCCCTCTCTTTTTTTGAACTTGGGTTTTAGTTGCTGGCACCAACCACACTTCTATGGTTTGTGCTTCTCTCCCAATCAGCAAATGTACTGCAAGTGTCTGTCAGTCACCGGGACAAATTCCTTGCAACTGAGGCACTTTTTGAAGCCCAGAGAGCTGGGCATACCCTTGTCCACAGTTGTGGGGGCAGAGGTGTGGATTGGCAGGACACAAACACTCCCCCTTCCTCCTCCCTTTTGGCATGGCCAACAACATTTTTTTTAAAGGCAACAAAAGAAAAGGCTTTTAGAAGAGCTAAAAATGTACAAAACTAAAGATTTAATGATCCACGAATGGACATCTTTTAGCTTCATCTCTAGCCAAGGATGGGAGAGAAAGAACTGAAGTGTGAATGCTCATGCATAATATCTAGCCTGGTGCTTTGTGGGGAGTACAGTAGGCAGAGTAGAGTAGATGCTACCAAAGTTTTCTAATCAGCAGCATGGGGTGCAGACAATGGAGGTGCAGACATCAGGTAGTATTCCACTCTTTTCTAGTTAACAGCCCAGCCTCTATACTACATTTAGGTACACTTTGTTCTGTATAGTTTCATGAAAATACTGATTATAGCCAACTAATAGACTATAGATAATAACAAAAAAGATGAAATTGAGCAAGAAAG